AAAGTTAAACGCTCTATTGACTGTCTCCGTGGATTAAAATATCGTATTTCTCGTAAGTCTTTAGAGAGTATTTACAATGCATTTATTTTGCCCTTATTCGACTTTAACAAATTTGAGACAACTTTAACAAATTTGAGTCCCTAAAATTAGAAAATCTCCATCTAGATGCATTGAGAATGATTACAGATCTTGTTCGAGGCACTTCCCATAATGCACTTTACTATGAATCTGGATATAACCCACTATCAACAAGACGCATAAGGCACAAGCTTATTCTTGTATAAAATGGTCAATAAATTGATTCCCCCTTTCTTAAGGCTTCTAGTACCACCTAAAATTTCTGAAGTAAATCCTTACCCTGTTCGTAATAAGAATGAATTGAAAAATATAGCTTCTAACACTAATTATTATAAAAACTCATTTTTGCCTCCAACAGTTGACCTTTGGAACAGCCTTTCTTACGATACGCAAAACGCCTCCACTATACAAAATTTTAAAATTAAGATAAGCGTGAACGATCATAAAATACCCAAATATTATTACTATGGAGAACGTAAATTTCAGATTATACATTCCAGACTTCGTAATTGTAAAAGTGCTCTAAACGTCCATAGATTTTTAATGCCTATTTCACATAACCCGACATGCAGATGTGGCCATACTCAAGAAGACAGCGACCATTATTTTCTGTACTGCCCAAATTATTCGTCTCGGCGTATCTCAACATTAAATACCCTCCCATTTAAATCCATAAATACAAAAACGTTCCTATATGGCGATCCCAACGAAAGTAACTCGTACAACGAAGTGATTTTTAGTAATGTTCACAAGTATTTAAAACTAACCAAACGCTTTGAATAGATAAGGTAATTGGCTGGCGACGATGACTGATGTTAGATGGTGATAATGATGATGACGATGATGATGACCATGAAGATGATTCATTTATTTATATATTTATCTAATCATGATAGAAAAGAAATAAAATATTGTTTAAACCAAGGCGCAGATATCGACTTGTGGGCTTTCGTTTGAAGAGAGGTATGTTGCTATTCGGACCCAAGTAACGGTGTTAAAGATTTTATGAATTTATGTTCACTCTGAACCAACAACACTTTGGAAGGATAGCATGCAAGAATCAAGAAGCTAGTTGGAAAAGCCCATCCGAATGTTTTTGAAATGATCACATTTTTACAAAAACAAAATATTAACCACCAAGGAAGAGATATAAATATGCTCAAATCCTAAGCCAGCTCAAGGAATTAAAAGGAAGACACGAGGAAAAGAAATTGACTTAAGTCGAGTATTTAGACAGGGTGTCTTATTTGGCGAAATTAAATTAAATTTTGTCATAGTGTAGTTATGTTTTGATTTCTTATGCCAAGAATGATGCTAAAATGTTGGTTAGTTAGTTACATTGGGGATTATGAAAGTGTAAATTTTTATCATAACAATCTATAACACCATTGTTATGATTTTAATTCTTTTTTAATCCCTAGGAGCTGGATTCCCACGAATCCGTTACGGTCAACTGCGCCTTCGTGGGAATAAACCTATACTATAAAACTATACTACTTCCTGCTCAACGTTTATTGATTAATATAAGTTATTAACATACCGTCTGATGACCTATAGTTCACCTCGTTATTGATCCCCTTTGACGTCATATTAGTATAGCTATCAACAATGATTAATCGGATTGAGGGTGAAAATAATACAGTTGCTAAATCTCTAAGTATCTGTTATGTATTAACGTATTTATATGGGATACTGTTTCTTGACAGTCATTGTCTCTGCTCTTATGTTCAAATGTCAAACGAGTGCCAAGGTGGCTCAGTGGGTAAGGCGCTGAATCACGCGTTACCAGGATTCCGGGGTTCGAACCCGGTGTTGGTCGAGAAAAGTCCTCGGGGTATCCAGCGTGGTGTCCCTTGTCAGTGTGCACGTAAAAGAACCATTGACAGTTGGAATTCAATTACTGTCCGGGCAAAAATGTATGGAGTTATGTCCGTCTTCATTATCCCGGAGTGTGCAGAAAAGTAGGACGTTAAACCCAATTTATTGCATTCACTCATTCAAATAAATTTCGATAAGACGTCCATCCGAGGCATTGGTTTTTATTCATAATCTATACATTGGTGTAAAATGAACTGTAATGTTAGATATGTGGACAGGAGTATCTAAACCATTATGCAGAACGCCAGACAGTCAATTACTGGCAGTTTATTTATCCAGTTTGTATTTAGCATGCATTAATATATATAGTGACAATTTAACTACCCAAGAGGCTAAGTGAAGGGGGCGCAATGATGTCCTTTGAGTTCTTACACCCCTATCGAAAAGAAAAAAAACAATCCCGTTGGATCCCCAACAGTTTTCAACGCTATTGGTATTCTGTTTTTCATTATTGCATCAGCCACTAATAACCCCCACCCATCCCACTGGGTCACCCACAACGATATACATATCGGGTTTTTGTGCCCACCTAGCGGATCTTGTCCTTCAAGCAAAATCCGCGATCATCACGCTATCTGACAGCAACACCAGTGATAGTTTATTTCCATCATACATTTGACATTAACATCTGTGACATTTTATCTACGAAGTTTGTTTTCATCATATATCTGCCAGTTGCATCAGTATGGAAGCCTATAACTACCATTCATAATTTCTACTTTTCGCCTCTTCAGAACACGAAAGTCGAAAAGTCGAAAAGTAAAAGTTACGACAAAATGTGAGGCGACAAGACGGTATACAAGCCAAAATCAACTCGAAAATAGGAAATTAAGAAATAACACACCGCGATAATAGCGCCCCCCGTTTTTTCTTAATTTCTACTTTCCGGCTTGCATTTTGGCTTGTATACCGTCTTGTCGACTTTCAACTTAGTCATATTTTTGTATTTATTGATGTCAGTAAGAAGGCGCCAACACGCTATACAAGCCAAAATGTAACTCGAAAAGTAGAAATTAGGAAATTAACACACTGCGCTATTAGCGACCTATGATCTGTCGTACTGTCGACTTTTCGACTTTTCTACTTTTCGCCTAGGAAGTTGTTGTAGTCTCTGCCTTCCAGGTCACGTTTGAATACGCGCAATTCCCGTTAACAAAAATGTCTGTATGCGCGTATTCAAATGTGACCTGGAAGGCAGAGACTACAACAACTTCCTAGGCGAAAAGTAGAAAAGTCGAAAAGTCGACAGTACGACAGATCATAGGTCGCTAATAGCGCAGTGTGTTAATAGTTAAGTTGTTGTAGTCTCTGCCTTCCAGGTCACATTTGAATACGCGCAATTCCCGTTAACAAAAATGTCTGTATGCGCGTATTCAAATGTGACCTGGAAGGCAGAGACTACAACAACTTCCTAGGCGAAAAGTCGAAAAGTCGACAGTACGACAGATCATAGGTCGCTAATAGCGCAGTGTGTTAATTTCCTAATTTCTACTTTTCGAGTTACATTTTGGCTTGTATAGCGTGTTGGCGCCTTCTTACTGACATCAATAAATACAAAAATATGACTAAGTCGAAAGTCGACAAGACGGTATACAAGTCAAAATGCAAGTCGAAAAGTAGAAATTAAGAAAAAACGGGGGGCGCTATTATCGCGGTGTGTTATTTCTTAATTTCCTATTTTCGAGTTGATTTTGGCTTGTATACCGTATTGTCGCCTCACATTTTGTCGTAACTTCTACTTTTCGACTTTTCGACTTTCTTGTTCTGAAAAGGCGAAAAGTAGAAATTATGAATGGTAGTTATAGGCTTCCATACATCAGTGACCTTTTATAATAGTTCAATCATCAACAACTGACATTAACTCTGACTTAATTCCTTCTCATGTATTCGATCATGAACCTCTTATTTAACTGTACCTAGTAACTCTATAAAAGGTTCTCACGATATCAGATGCCTGGGAGCGATTGTTTGTTGGTTGGGTTTTTTTTAATTTGTTTTATAAAGCAGTATTCTTATTCAGATTTTTATCCGAATAGGGATTGGGGAACAGGCATCGCCTATATTAAACCCGTCTGATATTATTCTAAAATACGTGATGTTAATCACATGCTTTTTCTGTTGCTGTCTAGCGCTGACCCATATACAACCTTCGGTTTCTGGGCTTGTCTATAAAATGTAGGTGATTGGCCGATGAAACGGATGAACTTGTTATCATAATAAATATGTAACTCTAGGGTATGTAACAATAACAATAATACGGTCACTGAGTACATTTATGAAATGGGCCAAGATAATTTTACGACTTTCCCAAGTTTTGATTTTCACATCCTCGATGAGACGCAAACAATTTACTCTTTTTATGTAAGATTTAATAAGTTGCCGCCTCTGCACCAGCGCTTATAATCCCAGTTCCGGGACAAGAATCAGCTTAAAATATATACGACAAACATCCGATGTCAGATGTTTCAAGGCACAATGGTACGATATTCATAATTTATCTGACATTGTCGTTTGCTCAAGTTTATGTCATCTGTTCATACCCGTTCTACTGACGGAAGAATTTTTGCGCTATTTCGTCAACCCAAAATTGTATCTAACCTGGACTAGGAAGTGGCATTTTATAATTCCATTGGGAACCTCCAAATTTAAAAAACGTACCTATGGTGGATTCCGTGCAGTGACGTTTAAGTGGTATAAACATACTTACCAATCCAATTCGTATATTTAGATAAGTCATTTAAATTCCGGGTTTTAATGATAATTAAATCCTTGTCTATCTAATGATTTTTTTTTTATTTATCATCTTTTATTTTTTACGGGGGGAAGGGGAGGAGGGTGGTGGCACCAAGTCCCTGCAGTAGATTTATGTTTTTGTGAAGATAAAAACAATTTTGATTCACTTCAAAGATAATCTAATCTATGAAGATCGTTTATGTTTGACACTCGGTTCTATCTATATAAACCCGTCGACAAGGTAAACTTTAAAATATATTTTATATAATAATAATAATATCCCCCTTCTATTTTTTTTACGTAAATCTTACCTGGTGTGAATAATATGCTTTTCCGTTTACTTTCCGTTGTACATGAGAAAGAGTCTTGGTGATGAACGCGGTAAATTTGTCATCTATTTGTTATTTACTGAACATGTCATAGAAATCTGTTGTAGGGTTTAGATCATTCCGGAATTAACATATGGTTCCAGTTTCATTCAATAATTCACTTGCGCATATGGGTCTTTAGCAATGAGAGGAATCTGGATTGTTCGGGGTTGTGTCCCGATGGAGAGGAACTTACAAGTAACAGTGTCTAGTCGTTCAGGTGGGGGGATAACCCGTTGGTGTGCAGGCAAAACAACCCCTGGCGGTTGGTATTGGAAATAAGAGAAGGCAGAATGTCGTTCACACGAAAAATGTCATTTAAATATTATATAGGGGTTAAAAGTATTATAGGTACAGTAGTCACATAGACTCCGCTAAAAGCATGTGACTGTCTTTAAGTTTGACTTAATCAGTGAATGTTGTTCGTGGTGTCTAACGTCCGCTTCCACCACGGGAGCACATTGATCCGCAGTGATATTCTGTGAAACAGATTGCCAAGGGAGATGTCGCAGACAAGTTGTCTTATTCTATTTATCATTATTATTTTAGCACGCGCTGGAGTATACGGAGAAATCGCACGAGATTGAGAATACACCACGTCACATAAGGGATTGAAACCACGGCGCAAGCCGGAGGTGACCGGCCAGCTAAAGGTCAAAGCGCAACATTCAGACCCCCCCCCCCCCCCCCGCCCGCAAACACACACACCCCAATCAGTTAATCCATAATCTGTCTTTAAATACACATGATTGGTCGAACTTTTTGGAACTGTAACTCTCTCTTTTTTTTCATACAAAAAACATATATATATGCCTCTTTACAGAATACAGTTATTGGAAATTTAACCGTCTCTCTCCCTTTTTTCTTCAAGTACCTTTAAAGATACATTATGGAAGATTAGATAAAGAGCTGGCAGTTCTCACTATAATAGTTAAAAACTACATAATGTAAAGGGGGTTGCTGAAAATTTCAGTCAAATTGAATCCACTCTGAACCGAGATTTTAGCGATTGAATATTGGCGCTAGTCTTATTCATCATTACTAAAGTCGGTAGGATAAAAACATAGTCTCGATTATCCATTTTTTGATTTAATTATGAATGGAAGTCGAACAGCAAATCGGAATCTAATCCAATTAACATGGCAGGCTAGCGATGCCATCAAGAGTTGATTATGGCCTGGATAAGTTCATAAATGTCTGATGAATAATTTAGATAACATTTCAAGCCTAAAGAAAGGCCTGCAATAGGCAGATTTAGCTCTTGCATAATGTATGTTTAAGTTTGAAGATCAAATAGTTAACTTCAGTTACTCAAGGAAGTGTCATCATAACAAACACAGCATATAATATTTAATAATTTAATAACAAACTTTATCACAGAAAACCTTCAAGAATTTAAAAATAAACAATGTCATTATCACAGTATTTTCATGATATCTAAACCCAGTTGTCATGTCACTAATTATATTATACATCGAAATATTACATAATACGATAGCATATATATCATAATTACAATTTATTGCAAAAATATCACATTCCCAGCTTTGAAATATATGTTATTTTACAAATATCATATTACAATTTACTGTAAAAATATCAAATTCACAGCTTTGGAATATGTGTTATTTTACAAATTAGAATTATTTTGTTTTTAACAGAAATAATTTATTGCACAGCGTTGTTTTTTTGTTTTGTTTTATGAAGTATACATAGTCCAGTTATAATATTATATTAGCACCCGTATTTATTCTTAGATTAACAGATCTTATCTTCACAACTTCCTCATAATAAATAATATTTATTTTTATCTTTTTTTATTTGTAATTCATTTTAGCACTCGTGTTTGTGCTTTTTGAGTGATAATAGCTACCAAAACAATATAAAACGTCCTCAGGAATATACATTGTTTTTACAAAATTATTGAGTTCTCTGCTCAAAACAGTGATTCATTAAAACTGAGTTCTACATTAAAGCTGATTGTTTTGGGGTTTTAATATACAACAATCAAAAAAACATCTTCTTTCGTGGAAACTACTGAAAGCTTAAATGTTCACAGCAAACACTGTTTCAATTCGAAAATAATTTACAGGTATAATTCCATTCTATTCTCTGATACTCCAGTCTATTCTCTGATACGCCAGTCTATTCTCTTATATTTCAATCTATTCTCTTATATTCCAGTGTATACTTTGGGAGACATTGCTTGTGGTATCCATGGATAAATTATTATAAAGTGATGTATTATTTGAAGAGTTATATATAAACTGATTTTCAAACCGCACGTCTGGTGAAAATTTGTTTATTGTTCTTATGGGGCTGCATGTTATTGCATCTGTTACCGTCTTCGTATCTGTAACCGGGTCTTTAGAAGAAACTGAAAATATAAAAAGAACACCATAAATATAAAAAGAACACCATAAATATAAAATGAACGTCTTATAAAATGAACACCATAATTATAAAAGTAACAACATACATATAACATTGATGAGCATTTGCATCATTTCATTATTGTGTATATTCCTTATTCTATTAAAATAAATCAACATGTTTTACGTTATGCATCCAGTTCTCCACGAAAGATTACTACATTTGAATTATCATTTTAAATTTATTTAAATATTTCAACATGTTTCAGTTTATGCATTTATTCATTTGTGTATTTATTTTCAAGATTTATTTTATATCTTTCATAGACAGTCACAAAAGAGTGATTGTGGGTTATTATTTAATACGCCTGTTCTTTTTGTTCGTTATTATTTATTCTTTATTATGCCAATTCTTCCTAATGCGGGAAAACACAATGTATTAAACGGATGTATCCGTACAATCTATTAAACGGATGTATCCGTGTTGGTTTCAATTTATTATATTATAAAAAAAACTCGGTTATGTATGTAACATTATCATGACAATATAATCACGACCTATGACCCAGAAAAGTAATAAATACTCAAAATTTCCCTGTGCGAATAAAACTATGCATAAAAACAAACCTGTTATCGCCACATTCGATAAAAGAGATAGATGGAGAGAAATGAGGTTTAACGTCCACCCGACACAAACTAGGCCATTTCGGGACTAACATAGGGTTCAAATGTATTTCAATAAAAGAAGGATCCGGAGAAAGCCCACTAGGTTGGACAGGCGACCCTCCACCTTGTCACAAGCAAGGACTCGAAACCACGCCACTTGACTCAATGACAGACCTTGCGATCTAAAGCGACACGTTAAATCATTCAGTCACTGCCACCACCCACCCCATTTCCGTCTGAAGAGCGTCAATGGTATGATTGTCGCAATTTGATTGACCAATGTCCGAATACTTATTCTGTTCTATTTGCTTAATTCGGTGCTCATAAAAACCGTCAGGCAGAAACGATATAAACAAAGTCTAAAAATACAACAAAATTAGCTGAGATAATAATCTGAGGTCAATAACTTGTATTGTATAGTCACACTAATTAATATATTTGTCACGCCAAAATGACGTTTTTATCACATAAGAAGAATATGGCGTCCTTGAGATAGGTCACAAATATTATGACAGCTTCCTTATTATATACTACGATATTTGAAGAAAAAAAATGATATTCCCACTTAACCATATCCTTTGTATTTTTATTCGCCAAAAACCAGTACATGTGTATACCTAATTTGACAACGAATTTGATTTGTGTATAAACTTAGCTTAGGAAGAATAAGGCCCGGGTTACGAATCAAAATCGCCCTCTTGCTATGCATATACACCGTAAAAATTATCCATTTATTATGTGACCGAATTCCGTATTTTAACTGTAACAGTATTAGGTCTATTATAGAATGGAATAAAACATTTCATCCCTAAATATCACGGAAATTTCTTGTTTAATACTGAATGGTCCATAGAAATACATAAAACGCGTAATTTGAAGAAACAATTCATACTTTTAACACATTTTCTCCACAATAAACCATCGATTAACAGAAAAACGGAGTTAAACTACGGAATTTGGCCACATACAAAATGGCTAATTTTTACAGTGCACATAGAATGATTTTTTTTTTCAAATAAACAAATAATGTGTCATTTTAAATTATCATGTATAGTAAGAGATAGTCGAACCCTTATATATGTTAAATACAAACTTATACAGAGTGGTATTTTTGAAAGAGATGTGTATGAGTGCGCATGGGTGTGGGAGGAAGGTATGGGTGTGGGAGGAAGGCATGGGTGTGGGAAGACAGCATAGGGTCAATGAAAAATTACGTCAATGAAAATTAGTACTGTGCTGGTTTAAAATCTAAAATGTTAAGTTATTTGATAGCTATTGTTTATCACGCCGTTCACGCGGGCCTGTATATAGACACTTATTGAATTAACAAATTTGTCGTACATATGTCAATATTGGTTCAAATTCAATCGATTAAGAACTTCCTTATCAAAAAACGCCCGAATTTCGACAAAGTGGGCTTTGATTCACAAGAACCGCCAGAACGGTGTCTGTTATTTTGAAAAATAAATAAAACCCAGACACATTACATATTTCGATAATTCTCGATATTTAAATATTTTTTTCATATTCAAGTAGTTGACAACAACTGAGTTTGTTTACGAGCCCAATCGCCTGGCTAGTGTATAATTCAAATAGTTCTGGTGATATAGTATTTATATTATAGTTCAGCAGGTGTAAGATTTATATGTAAATAAAGTCGTAATACAGTATCGTATATACGGTTCATGTCATATGCATCAATCTTAAAATATCAAATATCGAACGTTCAACAAAAACAAATTGGACATAGCATTTCTACAGGAATCGCAATAAAAAGGAATTCTTTCGTGTAATTTGAATCAAGCAATGTGTACACTGAATCACGTACATGTCCCCATCCGTTTATTTACATTCTAAGAAAGGTATAGAAAGGAGAAATGTCACATTTCAAAAAAATTTACTTACTTATATCACATACAGCTTCTATATAATTGACTAAATTTGTATTTCCACTTAAAGTTGCTTCATCTAAACTGGTTCTTCGATTTCTATTTAA